CCAGCACTCACTCAGGAAGCTGAGGCAGGAGGAACCTGACTTTGAGACCAGCCTGGGCTCTGTAATAAGACCCTGTCTCAAAGAAGTGCATTACAGTCCACAAGTCTTTAAAATACTATGTTAAGTGAAAATATCAGCCACAAAAGACATCAGTGTAATATTTCATAAAGGTCTGTAATTCATAGAGAAAGTAGATGGGTGGCTCCTTAGAACTTGGAGGACTGGTGGTATGAAAGAGTTGAGGTTTCTTTTTGAAGTAATAAAAATACTCTAAAATTAGACTGTGGTGATGGCTACACAGCTCTGGCAATATACTAAGAGCCACAAAGCTTCACATGGATGAATTGGATGGTATATGGGTTCTACCTTAAAGCTGTTACCAAAAAGAGCATGACATCAGTCATTTTAAAAAAAGTGTCAGCCAGGCACCGGTGGCTCATGCCTATATTTCTAGCTACTCAGGAGACTGAGATCTGAGACTTGTGGTTCGAAGTCAGCATGGACAGGAAAGTCCATGAGATTCTGATCTCCAGTAAACTACCAAAAAAGAAACAAACAAACCAGAAGTGGCGCTATGGCTTAAGTGGTAGAGCACTAGCCTTGAGCACAAAATTCAGGGACAGTCCTGAGTTCAAGCCCTAGGACTGGCAAATAAATAAATAAATAAAAACATGCCCATTACTCATAGAAGTTTGTAGTCTGGGTTTTTAAAAGAAAGCACGCACAATGACTATAGAGGTGAGAGCCAAGCACTTCAAATTTCATCCAGAATGTCCATTTCCAGGAATGTGGAAGGGCCCTTCTGACTAGCACGCTGCCTTGATATGGAATCGACGTGGGTGTCTGCAAAACTTTAGATCTAGGTTTTGCCACAGAGCTGTGGATGCATGCATGGAATTGTTGACAGCTGTTTACAGTCCTGAAAAGGGGTGAGAGATGCAGGGTAAACTGCAGGGTTTCAAAGGCTGTTTTGGGATGAGGGGCTGGGCTTTTAGCAGAAGCTAGGCCACATAAACTGGATTATGGGAGGGATCTTGGGGCACTTGGGGCCCTGGGTGTAGATAACCTTACAAGTGCTTGTGAATTGTGTAGGTTTGGTATGGTCAAAGGGCTAGAGCATCAGGAAAGCAGCATGGGTGGGCTAGGTAGCAAGCCCTTCTCAGAAGGACCCACTTTACCCATTCTATTCAGCTGGAGCCACCAGTGGTCACTCCTGGTCTTACCAACATGTGCCTTAAACCCCAGCTGTATGAAGAGAAGGAGAACAGGACTGATGGAAGTAAATGTCCCAATTGAGTTCATTTTAATAATCTTTTGCTCCTTCCTTGTATCTCTTCAATATGATACTTTTTTATGCCAAAGACCATGACAGAAGCTGCAGATAACGAAGACCAAGAAACAATTAAGGCCTTATTATTATGCCCTCCAATGTATAAATATAATCTCCAATGTAACAGCGATAAGAAATGTGGCCTCTGGGAAGTGATTAGGTACAAAGGCTCTGCCTTCATGAATAGGGTCAATGACCTTCTCCAAGGCCTCTGGGAACCCATTAGACTCCTGTCCTCTTTCATGTGAGTCGCAGCAATCAGACACTATTTAGAAAGCTGAAAGCCCTCATGACATATGAATCTGCTGGTGCCTTGCTCCTGGACTTCTTAGTTTCCAGAACTGTGAGTAATATATCTCCAGTGTTTATAAATTATCTCCTCTAAGATGTTTTGTTCGAGCAGCCTGGATGGACTAAGACAACAGTTTAAGACCCAGATCTACCACAAATTAAAAAAAAGCCACCCTGAAAAATTTTAACTAGCATACTTAATACGACACAGAAATGAAATAATGCACACTACATAAACATGACTCAAAGGATGATTATTTTCTTGGAGTGACAGAAACACTTTCTAAACTAGTCTTACAAAGATATGGAACATAAAAAAGGTCTTTAGTGAACACAATCCATCATATCCTCACTGGCAAAACATGTTAGGTTGTCATGTTGGGCCAGCAATAAAAACATGATTTTCATGTAAAACTGGAGTTGATGTTAAGAGATTGAAATTTCCTATAGCATCCTTTGTCTTAGGTGTGATATTTTGGATTCAACCTGAATGCCTGGTGAAGGACAGTTCCAATGGGATGTGATTGAGTTTCTGGGCTAAAAAAACATGCTACCCAAGCCAGTTATTGGTGGCTCCTGCCTGCAATACCAGCTACTCAAGAGGTTGAGCTCTGAGGATCTCAGTTCAAAGTCAGCCTGGGCAAAAAGTCTGAGTGACTCTTATCTCCAATTAAGCACCAAAAGCCAGAAGTGGAGCTGTGGCTTAAGGGGTAGAGTACTAGCCTTGAGCAAAAATAGAGCTCAGAGACAGTACCCAGGTCCTGAGTTCAAGCTCCAGGACTGGCACACAAAAAATATGCTGCATGAAAGACCACATTGAAATGGTTTTGAGTTAATACCAGGATAAGTATCATCCTGAATATTTGGTTAAAGGAAATGTGTTGCACTATTTTATTTTTATCATACACGAGGTCATATAATATAGTAGGGAGGGAGCTGTGGATTCATGTCCAGGCTGTGTAATTCAATATCCAAGTCATCCAGACCAACTAGATTCTCTCTGGGACTCATTTGTTACATGTTTCAAAGGAAAGTTGGGAGACATGGGAAAAAAGGAACAAGATTTGGCTAATAGATATCCAAAGTTCCTTCTCACAAAATCCGATTAGTGTGAGAGAAAAAAAAGATTTGATGTAAAGTGTACTATAATGATTTTGGATATTCAAACCAAGAATTTTAATACTAACCATCCAAATCTCCACACAAAAATAATACTATCTGAAGGCATCTGTAGCTTTAATAGTAGGAAGTTGTTGGAGCATTTTTAGAGTTTGGAATTTAAGAAAGCCCAGCCCCAGCCCCTACCTGCACTTTATAATTTGTCAATTTAAGTTATACTTTATTGCCATCTGTGCCAACAGAAACGTTTTACTAATATTTTTTGTGAATTTCAAATTTTTTAATGGGGGACCTTACATGTACTGGTGATACACCTAGTGGGGAATGACAGAATTTTATCCTTCCTAGGACATTTTTTCCCTATATCAAGTACAACCCCAATACAAGTGATTTCAGATTCTCTCAAAAAGGCTATCCAAAACAGACTGCCAGTAGGGTCACATTAGAAAAAGGGAAAATCAATTGCATATGAGATCAAATCATGCAGAAACCTCCAAACTGGCAGGACAAAAAACCCATTATATTGATCATTTAGTTATGATCAGGATGGCAGGACATGGAGGGGTTTACCTATGGTGTGAACATTGGGGTAGTTTTAGACATCATTTCTGCGGTAGGTGTTTCTTATAAAAATAACGTCATGGGGTGAGGCCCTTAAAACTCCAGCTCTATTGAGCTTTCCAACCTTATGGTCTAACATCATGTCATGGCATTAAGAATGGAGTAATCAGTAATTAGATCAGAGCATGGAAAATCAGAGGGAGGAAACTAGAGTGAATTATTATCAAATGGAAGTGGTCATTCAATGTCAGAAAACAAGTTATATACCATTTCCTTATCCTTGTTGCAAAGGGATGAGAACAGGAATAGGGAATAGGAAGGGAGAACTCGGCTGAGGTCAGAGCCCTGTGTGTGTGTGTGTGTGTGTGTGTGTGTGAATTCCTGAAAGTGGCATGTGAAACAAAGCATCCTGGGAGAAACGATTTAAACGATTTGCCTTGAGAAGGATGCAGAGAGGGCCCAGAATCTCGCACCTGTGAGTCCAGGTCCAGGTGAAGGGTATATTACCCAGAGGCCCAGCAGGCAGCCTTGGATTTCCTGGTGGGTGGATTTTGCTAAAGTCTCATCCGCATAGTGACTGCCTGGGTGTCAGTGTGCAAATTGGCCTCTTAATCCCTGCTGCTTCCAGACTAATTAGGGCCACCTCAAAGCAGAAAGTTGAGCTCGAGGCTTTATTTGTTTATTTTCTTCCAGGTATAGGAATACCAAGAAGTAGCCAACCAGACACCCATCTCTGGACCTTACCAGAACCCGATCCCCCTAGGGATTTGACGCCTTTTAGGAGAGTGTGCTTCCTTATTCCCTCCCCCGACCGAGTTCCAGGGACCCCCTTGGGGACTTGAGGCCAGTCAGGTCACCGGAGTCAAACTCCTGGCCATGGGTCACTTCCTCCCCAGCCAGCAGTCAGGCACGGCGCGGGGCGGGGCGGGGCGCGCCTGGGAGGCCGTGGTGGCTCGCGCTATTCCTGTCGCTGTGAGCTACGGGCATGTTATGTGCGGCGCCCAATCACGCCTCCCACCCCACGGCCTGACCTGTGCGCCCCCTCCCCCTCCCCGCTCTAATCCCCCAGGCTTTGATTTGATCCTCCGCGCGGAACAAGCTCAACCTGCCTGCTCCTTAACCAGTTGTCCCAGCCCTCGCGGGACCCGCAAAACCCCGTCCCCCTCGTCCACCCTCAGGAGGTGAGAGCTCTCAACTCCCCGCCCCCTGCCGCCCTGCCGGACCGCCTGCAGTCCGGGCTGCATCGGTGCATCTGGGCCGTCGGAGATCCAGCACGCCCCGCCGTCCACCGGCAGCTTGGCCTTTCCCAGGTGATGGTACGCGGCCAGCGCCGCCCTTGGCGCGCAGGTGTGAGCGCCCCAAATTGTGAGGGGAAGGGGACTGGGGACAACGCGCTGGCACCCTCCACAGCCGCTGACATCAAGCCCAGCCATCCCCGGAACACTCCGAATTTGGCGCCCATCGCTAGCGGGGGCTTCTGCAGATTGTCCCCAGAGGGGATTTTATTGGAGGGGGGAGAGGGCCGAGCCGCGGATCTGGATGAAGGAGCCCTGGATTTTAAACTGAGCCGGCAAAAATGGGCTTTTGCTAGGGTCTCTGTGGCTCGCGCAGGGGCTTTGGGGGTTCTGTGCCCTGAGATGCCTCCAGCGGCACCCGGCTGGCTCCACTCCCCTCCTGGCCGCTTCCCGCCCTGGGCATCATGAGTTACTTCCTGTCTTATTGCAAAGCTCATGGCAGCGCGCTGCTCACTGGCTATCAGGCCCTAAGAGCCGAGGGCTTCTTGTGCGATGTGACCCTGGAGGCCGAGGGCAGTGAGTTCCCGGCGCACCGCTCGCTCCTGGCCTGCTCCAGTGACTATTTCAAAGCCCTGTTCAAGAGCCACACCCGGGAATCCCAAGCACGCGTGATCCACCTGCGCGTGCCATCCGCGGCCGGCCTGCAGCGCCTACTGGACTTCATTTACACTGCCTGGCTGCCGCTGTCCATGGATACTGTGGAGGACACCCTGGAGGCGGCCAGCTACCTCCAAGTCACCGAAGCCTTGGGGCTGTGTGGCCGCTACCTGGAGCGCCAATTGGCCCCGGAGAATTGCTGCTTCACGGCCAACGTGGCGGCGCGCTTCGGCCTGGCGCACACGCTGGGTGCAGCCGAGAGCTGTGTTGTGCGCCACTTGCGTGAGCTGCTGGGGATGGGCGTGGGGGCCTCGGGACTGCTGGAACTCAATGCTGCCTCCCTGAAAGCCGTATTGGGGGCCCCCAATGTGGCACGGGTGTCTGAGGTCTGGCTGCTAGGCCTAGCCCTGGCTTGGCTGCGGCAGGAGCCCGCAGCTGAGCGTTTGGCGTACAGCGCCGAGCTTCTGGAACGGATCCGCTTTGGCCTGGTGCCTGCGGACGTGCTGCGGCGCGTGTACTCGGGCTCTGGCCTCAAGCTACCAGCCCGGGTCAAGGGCCTCATCATCCAGGCCCTCAACTACCACACGGCGCCTTCCCGCCAGCCGCTCGTGCAGGGCGAGCAGACCAGCATCCGGAATGCTCAGACCCGCATCTTGTTGGTCGGAGGGCGCAGGGCTCAGGAGGTGATTACAGAGGAGGTGGTGGTTGCTAGGCCAGCCGTCAGAGACCGGCGAGCGGCCGCTGAAGCTGAGGAGGAAGAGGAAGAGGAAGAAGAGATGGAGGAGGAAGAGAAGGAGTGGGAGCTCACCCAGGATGTGGTGTCCTTCGACGTGTACAATCACCGCTGGCGCAGCCTCACTCGGCTCCCTGCCCCGCTGCTAGGGCACTGCGTGTGCACAGCAGGGAACTTCCTGTTTGTCCTGGGAGGGGAGAGCACTTCCGGCAGCGCTGCTACTCCCCTGGAGGAGGGCCCCCGGGCAATCACAGCCCAAGTGCACCGTTATGACCCACGCTTCCACACGTGGACAGTGCTGCCTGCCATGGGAGAAGCCAGGGCCTACTTCTGGTGCGGTGTTGTAGGTGAGAGTCTCCTGGCAATCGGGGGCCTGGGCACTAATGGCGAAGCGCTGGCCTCGGTGGAGATGTATGATCTGCGAAGGGACCGCTGGACGGCAACTGCAGCGCTGCCAAGGGCACTTCACGGCCATGCAGGGGCCGTCGGGGCCCAAGGTGTCATTTACATATCTGGGGGCAAAGCAGGGAGAGGTGACAGTGGAGCCAGTAGCCTCCGGGACTTGTATGTCTTGGGCCCTGGGGAGAAGGCCTGGAGCAAGAGAGCACCCATGAGCACAGCCCGCTTTGGGCACCACCTGGCTGTGCTGCGAGGCGCAGTGTTTGCCTTTCTAGGACGATTTGAGCCCTTCTCTGAGATTGAGCGCTATGACCCTGGCACAGACCAGTGGACTCGCTTACGGCCTCTACCCTATGATCGTTTCTGCTATGGGCTGGCTGTGGTGGAGGAAACAGCACTGCTGCTGGGTGGTCTCAAGTGGAGGGGGTCGCGCCAAGTGCCTACCCGTAATGTGGTGGGCTATGACCTGGACCTGGACCACTGGGAGGACATCAATTGTGCACTACCTTGGGCTTGGAGCGGCCTGCAGTGTGCTGTGCTGCAACTGGCGGAGGGCTGGAACGAAGAGAGGGAAGAAGACCTTGGAGAGGTGCTAGATTTAGTCCTGGGTTGAATGGGTGAGACTAGTTCCCCGATGACCAAGGCACCAGTCCTGCTAGTGTTGGCTTTTTCTGAGAAGAATAGGCTTTCCAAGAGTGGGACTCTGGTAGCACAAAATGATTTTGAGGGGTACAGAAACAAACAGGGAGTTGAGCAAAGAGAAAACTCTTGAGCAGAGTGGGAGACAGGAGATCAAACAGAAGGATATATGAATGAGCTCCAGTCAGCTTCTGCATGAGACTTTTTAGAAAAGCTAGAGATGAACTTTTGAAAGTAAAATGTGACCTTATGTCTGTCCTTTCTTCCCTCCTGCCGTTTCTCTCCTTCTTGCTCTCCCTTTTCTTTTTCTTCCCTTCCTTCCTTCCTTCCTTCCTTCCTTCCTTCCTTCCTTCCTTTTCTTCTTCCTTCTCTCCCACCTTGTTTCTCTCCCTCCCTCCCTCCCTCCCTCCCTTCCTTCCTTCCTTCCTTCCTTCCTTCCTTCCTTCCTTCCTTCCTTCCTTCCTTCTCTTTCTTTATTCCCTTTCTTTCTTGGTCTGGGGCTTCAATTCATTGCCAAAGCATTGTCCCTGAGCTCTCCCCCCCTTACAGCTACTACTTCTTACTTTCCTTTCCCCTCTTCTCCCTGCACCACCCCCCCCAACCCAAACAAAAAATATGTAAGAAGTTATATATAAACCTTGTTGGCTAAGAGGGCTATAATAAATAATCCTAGAAATTCTGATAAATCGTGTACAGAATGTGCCTTGGCTAAATAGTGTGAAGTCATAAGAGGTCTGATTTTATGATACAAAAGTCTGATTTTATGATCATGGTTTTAGTTCTGTTCTGATCCATATAAATATAGAACTGGGAAGAAATAATATCTAAAAAAGCACTTAAAAACTATCATTGGTTAAAATGTTCAGTTCCTTTTCTGCACCCTCATTTGCTTTTTTGGTTGCTTTAAGGCATCTCTTTGGTTTAAAGTCAAATTTCGGCACCCCTTAAGCACAATAGGTTAGATGTGTAGAAAAAAAATCAGTATCGTTGGCTCCCCCAATTCCCAAAGAATCACAGAGAAAGGAAAGGTGAGGCATTCAAAAATAAGCTGGAAACTAGTTTGAGTTTTTTTCAAGGTCTCAGGAGATTCTTGAAGTTTGTTGTTACTTTTGGCATGTTCCATCAATGTGGTGGCAAGTTAGAACCTGTACTGGGGTGGTGACAGTGATGGTGTCTGTGCGATTAGGTCACAAAGAAATGTGGCAAGCACTTTTGCATGAATAAAATAGGTTCTATATAAGGATTCATTAAGAGCTGAATTTATTTGACTTCAGTTTACAGTGGTGCCTCTCTCCTAGATTGGAAACAAATGCAATCAAATGTACAGATATATATGTTAACAGGTCTCTTTCATGCTAGGCTAGCCACGAGTCTTGTAAAATTCATTAGTTTAATGTTTTTTTTTAAACCATTGAAAACAATAGCTGACTTTACAAAAGTAGAAGCTGCTTATAGTAGCAACAGAGCTAATCCTTCCATCAACTGCTTGCAGTTTACAAGCCACAACCTGGTCAATGTTATACATGACACATCCATCTGATTACAAATATGTTTAAATGAACATACACGTTTGGTCTAGTAAACATCAATAAATCTAAACACCTGTAACAAGCACACTTCATTTTTTTTAGGACAAGAGGATTTTTTTTGTTTGTTTACATATACAAAATCTCACAAATTTAATGTGCATCAATATCCATGCAGTAAATAAATGTTTTCATTTTTTTACAAATAGGATTTTTTAAATGATAAAAATATTACACTGGACCCAAAATTCCATACAAACATTAATACATGATTTCTCATCCATTTTGACTAAATAGAGGATTACTGAAAATGTGCTGTAGAAAGGCCACACTCCTGTACAGTTGTGCAAAGTCTGCAAAACGATAATGATTCAATGGTGGTTTCAAAAGCAAAGAAAAAACATCCTCGCTGTGGAGTTTCACTTTGTCCTCTACAGCAAAAATAGACACTGGTATATATCTGAACTCTTAAAGATGTAAGTACATTCACTGAGCTGTACAGGCAACAGTATAAAGCTGATTAGAAGTAGATTTTAGGATATAGAATAGTAAAGGAGGTTCCTTCCTCCTCTGGAAAAAACAGCAAATTGTGACTTGTACGTTATGCAGCCAGACACTAAAAAGCAGCTCAGTCATTTTCATGCTGTGATCACTTTCAAAAAATGAGACGCTTATAAATGGAAATATATGAAGAGGACTTTCTCATAGACTTTATCCACTCTATACAACAATTCATAATGCTAGGGGAACAAAATCCTCTAAATTGTTTAGTTCACGTAATTCAATGTGACATCTCTCTGAGTGACCGTCACCACCTTCCTTCTTGGCAGAGAGTACATTAAAAAAATTCCACATTGTTTTCTACATTATAGCATATATCTGCCATAACTAAGTGTACTCTGCTGCTCTGCTTGAAGTATAATTCAGTAAGTTTTATTAATGGACTAGGGGAAAATCAGAAACTACCTGGCAAGCTGATTCATTTCAGTTTATACCTTGTCTTTTAAGTGTTAAGAGTTCAAAAAATGTGAATTTGGGCTGAAACTCTTTATATAATATATATACATATATATTATATAGCTGTTAGCTGCCTTTCTGGGTGAGTTAAGTCTGTTTTAAAATATCCATTCTTAAATTCTTCTGTACACAATCAGCATTTCATCACTACAAAAATAAAGGAAGATTTAAACCAAGAAAATAAAGCAGCTCTATCTTCAATTTTGGTCTTAGTTACAAAAACATCTTACAAAGCTTTGCCCTGATACACCATTAAGTGTTCTCACAGATTTGGAATAATATTTCTATTAACCAGCTTTCACAGGTTAATAAACTATTAAGACGAATATTAGATACCTGAACTTTTCTTATGTCGATGCTCTTCTATTTTGCTTAACTCTTTTATGCACACCTACATTTCACAAAAATAAAACTACAGCATTAATCTTTGTGCAATGTTTAAGAAAATTCTTAGAACATTTTAATAAATATAAAAAAGGTTTAAATTCTTTCCCACCCACAAGGATGTCTGCACCTGAAAAAATGCAATTTACTTTTGAAGTCTTGTTTATATAAAATTAACTTAATGGGAGAAAAGATGACCTTAGATAGAAAACTGCCTTTTGTGGTTTTACTACTTGAAGACCACCTGTATTCAGAATTGTTTGCAAAAGTTAATTTAAGTCATTAAAGATAGTTGATTTTGCACATGGTAAACATAAGCTGAGCACTGATTGCATATAAAATATACAAATGCTCATTAAAGACAGTGGTATTATGACCATATATGGTTTGTTTTATATAGTTTGGTAATGTTATAGTTTGTCAAGTGTTCCACATATTGTTATAAAAACTATCTCATATACCTATTCAGAGTACCAGCAGGTACTAGATGGCCTGAAGGCAGAATGCACTTACACATGCGTCTCAATGTATGAATGAGTGTGTGTCAGAGAGGAATTGATTACTTCTACTTCAGAAGAAATACTTAATGGGTCATTTGAAGTGGTGTTTTGACAGATATCCAAGAAAAGGTCGAGGTACATTTGCTTCCACTGCTGGAATTCTTTAGATGTCAAGTCTGGATTATCTAGGACTTTATCAATAATGGCTACTTCACCTTCTCTGGCCTGAAAGCAAAAGAATTCAACAGTTAATATAAGGACACAATTGTATTCAAGTTTCAAATAGGTTAATATGTAAACAGAAAATCAGAAGTCCACAGGAATGGCTATTTAGCCCCAAATCCCAGTGCACCGGTTTCTTCCTGAGATATGCCTTTTTTTGTTTTTTGCTCACACTGTGTGATTTACTTTTTCTCTATGCCCGTCCTGTTACCCATTTCTCAGTCTATGGAAACATTTCCAGTGCTTTAAGCTACAGTTCAAAAGCCTGTCATTTCTTTAAAGCTTCCTTAAAACACTGGGAAAGGTTTTCTCCCTCACTGATGTCCCCATAGCACTCTATTCCTGCCTTTGAGGGGTGTGTCACACCCTGCCTCATGAGTCCCTGTCCCCTTTCTATCTGGTAAATGTATGCTTGAATAAAAGTGAGCATGACCCTCCTGTGGCCACAAATATGCCATTCCTGCTGTGTAAATGTTAGGACCCTCCTCCTGTAGTACTGGGGGCCTCTAATAGATAGTGGCTCTCCCTTCTTTGTTGAAGGCATGGTTTCAGCTAGAGACTAAGCTTCATCTGGGTGTAATTCTTCAAGGGATAACTACTGACTATGGAAGAAGAGAAACTTCCAGGTAGGATTATGGACCCTAGGAAGAGTTTATGAAGTTCAGGAAATGTTCGCAAGAAGAAAGAAGGCAAGCCTCTGTGTCAGCCTAAGTTGGGAGGGAAAGAAGAAAGCAAGGTGCCTGCAAGCCAATCTGGTATGTGAGGAGACAGGATTTGGAACGGAGCTGGAACTGAGGATGCTGAGTACTGCCTGTGTTAGGATCTTAGATGCATACTTGGGAAGGGTGCCTGTTCCAATTCCAGGAACTAGACATACCCAAAGTTGCTGGGACAGTTGTCTATGTGTAATAGGAAGATTCCAGAGCCTGTTATTTTTCCAGGCCCAGAGGACAGGGTTCTGTAGTTCCTTTTTTTTTTTTAAACAAGTGAGGAGCATTTCCTTATAGTGATTTGCTCATTATCTTTCTTTGTGTCAGAGAGTCAATCAAGTATCACACACCTGTCCATTCACTGAAATGAACACTGGCTATAACACATATTCTTTGTCACTGGAAGAAAATGCTTTTAGGAAGTCTACACAGCAAAATGACAGAGGCAAGGAGCTGACAGAAAGGAACAGGTCTTTAAGATAGTTGATCTGCCCTTTTCCTGATGCCTGCTTGCCTGCCTGCCTTCTCAGCCAGACAGTTTGGAATTGAATGGGGCAGGAGTGGAAATTATAATGTGGGAAGGTAAGGATATGTTTGGAGTAGGGGTGGAATTAT